GTAGTGTACAGCATCGATTTCTGTGGAACCCAGTAGCTGTCAAAACTTTCACATTTTTACGAATAACTCGGAAATCGTAAATTTTTCAGGTAAAACGGTTGAAACAAACATAAATTAAAATTGAACGGCCAATCTGAAAATAACAAAAAAAAGGGGGGGTTTCACTTAAAAAACCAGAGTTGGTAACTACCACACGTTTATGATGCACCCTGTATATTGGAAAGTAATTTTAGAATGTGGACCTTTTAAACGTGAAAAACTTTCGTTGGACGAATTTTCTTGTAAACTTCATATTTACTGAGATATCGCACTTTGACGCACTAATGAGCAACCCTGTATATGATCATCTTATTGATAAACATTTTTGGGCCCGATTTATCTTTTTTTCTCTGGAAAACCTTTCATTGATTACCATGTCCTTTGAACCTTTGGTTGTCGCCACTGATTTTACCAAATTGAAATTGGGTCTGATATTTTTTATTGCTTGTGTCGATTTAATTTAATTAGAATTTCTTGCAATGAGGTGCACAAATACCCCGAAGGCAATTCGTCTAAATTCGTCTTCTTCACAAATTCGTCTAAAATTATGTAAAACATTATTTCCACGTGGTTGTTAACCCAATTCCGTTCACGATCTGCACCTGTTTGGCAGCCTTAACGGCATATTCGACCAAGAATTGTATACGACGTGTTTACAAGATTCCATTTTACTAAGGGAAAAACTAAAAAGTATTGTATCTTTAAAAATCATCCATTAACGTCTTAATACTGGTGCAACTGATAACACAAAAAATTTAGTTTTTATTGCAAAATGTGCTCCCCCGTTGGCAGTCTCAACCGTCTGCAAAAATTAGTCTAAATATCCATAGCAGTTTTTGACAATAATTAATAAATTAGATTTTTTAAGCTAAACTTAAACACCCTGTGTTTGCTTAACAAAGGGTTTCTCGAATATCGTAATAATGAATACTTTATTGGTTTTCGATTCTCTATCGTTCCCTGAAATGTCCGTTCTGGAAACTAGAGCGCCCTGTATAGGCTTTATAAGGAATTCACGATTCCATCAGGAAATTATTTCTTGCAGTTCAAAATTGTGTGGACTTAATTCAAAAATTTGGAATATAGTTCTAATTTTTTAAACTTTAGCAATTATTCTGTACATTCATCGTCTTACCGTTTGCAATTCGATATCGAAATAAGTTCACATGCCAATTAATTTAGAGCCCATTCATTTTAAAGACGTATTTGTATAGAGCTAAATTTCTACATTTTCAAATTAGCGCTTTTGTTCTGATAAATTTTTCTTAACTTGTTCAACGGAATTCACTGATAATTTAACTAGTTTAGTATACGTGATTATTGAAGTCTCCCTCATTAAATTTATATCTTTTTGAAAGCCGCACTTTTCTAATAGCGCTGAAATTCGTAACGCCATTAAAATTGCTATTGAACTTTTGCTGATTGCAATCATCCCTTAGTTACAATTCTTCATCCCTAGCTACCTTTTCCTCAAAGGGCAGCCTAGGTCATAGCGAGGCTATAAGAAAAGCTCTTAAAAACTGTATTCCGTGGCATAAAAATACCATGATGACTTAGGGTGCAATTTGAGAAGAAAGTTGAGGTAGCTAAGGATGAAGGTTATAAATAATGGATTAATGTTATCACCAATAGCTCAACCGTAATTTTAATAAAGTTACGTGATTCAGCGTTTTCAGCAAAAAAAAACCGTTCTGAAAAGATGCTTTTTTATGCGCGATAAACTCAATTTGCTGTATACAAGCAAATAACGAGCAGCTTTCGTCTCACGAAACTATTTTGAATCGCGGCTATATTTTTTAGAATTTTTGCTTATGTTATTCAACGTTATCCATAATTCGCAAACAAGCTCTAAACTATCTTGCGAGTTTTCAGGCTTTTCCTCCGTGGTGAATTAGTAATTCTAACGCTTCGCAAGCCACTCGTTTGCGAAATGTTTGGAAGAAATTTTAATTGACGTCAGCTTAAAACCGAAAAACTCACCAGTTTCAAGGAATGGGTGGAAAATCACATCTCTTTTAATAGGCTCTAAAGTGTTTTCTGAGGAACTATTTCTTCAATTTATTAATTAATCATTAGATTTATTATTGAATTTTTACGAATTTGACTTGTATCAAAATAATACTTCATTAAAAAATATGTATATAATTTGAAAAATTCAACCGCCATAGGAAAACCTAACTTGCAACTTAAAAAATTAACGTTTTCCGTTAAATATCCATCCCCTAATGCTCAAATTGTTGCAGGCGTGTTCACATAACGAAGGAGACCCTTAAGTGCTTAGGGAATGATTATATGGTGGAACCAGGGCACGGCGGCGAGAGAAACTCTTACCTTAAGGACCACAACATCGACACGTTCCTGATTGTGGCGCAGTCCTATCGAGGGGTAATTATAAGATTATTAAGAGAAATTAAGGGAGAGATAATTCGTTTACTGTGCTTTGCTCGCTGATATTATGGCATCTAATAAAATTACTTTCAAGAGGGGCGGCATTGTGTTGATCGATAACGGGAATTAAGTACCTAATGTTTTCACGATTTTGGCTTTACGCTTAAGTCGTGATTTCGGGGAATTGAGAACACTGTTTGAAATTTGAAATCGAAAGAAAGACTAAACAATGGGTGCAAACGGTGTATACATAGTCCGCCTTTATCTAACTTTTTTCGCATATTTTAATCATTGCTATACATTTTAATGTATAAATGTAGAAGATGTGGACATTTGAATTTTAACTTAAATTCTGATTCAACTTTTCAATAGCACAGTAGTCTTTCAACAGAGACTTTTAGATGTATTTTCTTTTACTAACAATGTTCTCAGGTCATAAAAATAAAATCAAAAGTGAAACCTACGTTCTTGCTTTAATACAGGTTTGGACAGAATAAAAATGATGTGCTATTAAAAGTGATTTCTATATATGTACCACTCATCTGATATTAAATAAATGCGAAAGGCTACATAACGTAATTTTCTATTCGATTCAATTACTATCAGCCGAATTACCACTGCATATTTTCTTTAATGTTAGCTATTCGTTTTCTCGTCGGCGCAATTTTCATTAAAAATGTCCGCTTGAACAACGTTGCCCCGTTAAAATTATCATGAATCAATTACATCAAATTTTACAATTTGCAAAATAGCTCAAAAAGAAAATTGGCATTCGTTCGCTATTTCGTGCTTCTTGTTATTAACTGGAATCGAGGCTCCCCTTTTGCAAATTTAATTTAAAGCATGTCAACATTGAGCAGTATTCGGCTTCAAAATATATTTCCTCAAAGAACGTCTACATAATTAAACCGACGACATATTATATTTGGACGATTTATTATGTCAGGAGGGCAATTTAATTTTTCTCTTGGATTCCTTAATATTGCAATACAATCGCACACATTAATTTGTTGAAGTAATTTGAAATTTCTTTATCTGGAAGAATATTTAATAAATCAAATAATTAAATATATATCTTTTTAAATGCGAGAAGCACCTGGAACTAAAAACAGTTTGAAGAGCTAACATAAAGATAATGAAACTTCTCTGCTTAATAAATTATTCATAAAATAGAAAATATTGATTAATAAATAATTTCATACAGACGATGGATGAACTCCTGAGCAAATACATTACTTTTGTTCCTTTAATAAACTTAGCGGCTTTTCCAATGTGAGTAAGATTAATTAGAGTAAATTTATTAAACTTCAGGGTGGTGTGCCTCATCAAAGCCATTCTATGAACGGAAATGTAGCCAAAGAAATGAGAATAATGGGCCACGGTGCGCAGCACGGACATTCCACAAAGTAAGTGTCTTTAAACATGAAATTACTATTGAAATTGAAAAACGCCACTTTTTTTTCTTATCAAGTTGATGGATTCATTGACGTAGTTTTACTAAAATCAGTATCAGACAAGCGTGATTTTTGTAAATTGCACTAAATGTTAAAATAAACTTCGGAATATCATATGGATAAAAATGTATTTGATAAAAACATTTAAATTTGAATTTGATTATCTGCAGATGAATTAAGAAATCGAAGTTTTATTATTTTCTCTGTTTTCTGCATAAACCATCAAAGTATTTCCATTTCGTTCTCTAAGCCACCCCGTATATATGTATTTTTAATATAAATGATCTGTGAGCTTTGTTCACCTTTATTTCAAACATTTTGGTATCTGCTCTAAGTTCTAAAACTGCATCTAAGCAAACACGCCATGCTACTGAACCTACTCATTATGGTAATTTTATGATCAAAAATTTCTCGTTACAGACCATTCAGTGAACCAACAGAGTCGAGAGAGAAAAATCCCGAAGACGAAGTGAACGAGTACCTCATGAAAGCCATTGATGCCAGAAGCATTGATAGACTAAGGACGGAGCATTGTAGAATACTACTGTTAAACTTTAGAGATCCTAACAAGGAAAGAAAAGTATGTAATACTTTTAATTACATGTGACACACGCCCGATTATATTGTAATCGCATTAAAAAGTCAACTTTTAACACGCTAATTAACTAATCAAATTGCCTTTTATAGCACACTAAGCTAAGTTAAAAGAAAACTATATCTGGATACGTTAACCGTAGATGCCATTTAATTTTTAAAGTCAATCTCATATTAAGCAACAAAAAATATTTCTATATTTAATAGTAACTACTCGATCGAACGCCGGTCTTCTTGCAGATGATAGGAATTTGTTAAAAAAAATTATTCAGCCTTCAAAATGCCCATAAACTCCACAAAAGCTTTCAGATAAATTTTTTATCATAAGAAAGAATAGCAGGCACATCTTAAATATATAAATGGATAAAAACAAATTTTGTTACGGTAACAATTTTACAAGTAGTTGTAGAAAAAATGTTGGAATTTAAAGGCAAATTCCGCTTTTAGTAACTGCAAGCACATTTTTCAAAATAATTTGGAAATATCACAATTTTTTACTGTTTTATTTATTACTATTTCAATAAAAATTTTAATTGCTTCATCCAAGTATTGGAAATTTTGATTTTTTCAGAACATAAAACGATTGGTTTTAAACAGTGCTGATTTTCCATTTTCTTTTTTCCATTCTTCTGATATATGCCTTAGATGAAAGTGGGAAAAAGTGTTTGATTGCCTCAAACCAAATGTTTCCAAATTTTTCAAAAGCTCAACAGAAAATTAAAACCATTCCCTAAAAATTTTTTTTCTTTTTTAGTATGCATTGGAGCGGGATCGAATGCTGACTCTTTACTTCGTTTGTTCTACCTTCTGCTTTGCTGCCATAATTTTAGTGCAAGTAACAGTATTTAAAAGGTAAGTCCTAGACAATATTTTCACATATTCCGACTATTAGGTCTTATTTGCAAACTTATTCCATTAACGTCAGCCAGATACTTGATGGCATAAATTACAGTTCCATTCTTGTACAGGAAATCTATGCGCGCAATGCTTTCAAATTTGAAAACTTTCGGAAGTTTGTCGTTTAGTTTTACATTCGAGCGGAAAATGCATGACTGCTAGTTTGATTTTATATCTGCAATTCACAAGTTACGTGATTTTCGAAAGTTTGCTAAAGAAAAGATGATTTTGCTACTTTCATTTATTGTATTTTTCCAAGTAGACAGTTGGTAATACTTATCTCGAATGCTCCGTATCATATAGAAAAATACAATGAAACATACTATGATAACTATAGAGAAGCAGGCACGCTATTGAAATCTAAAATAAACACTCTCGTTGTTAGCGGAACAGGGATTCTAATATTCTCCGGAACAGCAATAATAATATTTTAATACAGAGTCTGTTTATTTCAGCAACAAGACTGCTCTGCTGTATTCAGTTCCTGTAATATTATTTCTTACAATTATTCCAATAGTCGTTTACATGGATAACGTGAATGCTAGGGTAAGTATTAGTTTAAAAAGTCGTCGTTTTTCGAATTTTGCCAATTATTCAAAAACTAGAGTTAATTCTAGACGGCTGAAGGTTTAAATTATCTTTTCTATATGCTTTCAACATCCTAACTTTCAATTCGATACGACAGTTTTTAACGTCCATCCGCTGACTTTATCTGTGCGATTCTATCAAAAGAGCGACAATATGAATGATTCGAACTGTCTGCACTGCTCGGCAAGAACATGACTTCCGCTTTCGTTATATCCCTATGTATTTTTCAGCATTTCCTGAAGAAAATGTTTTCATTGTCCAGGATGATCCACAAAAACAGAAATATCGCTCAAATTTTCTGTGTATTTATGGCTGTATGCATTTATATTCTAGTCTTGCTGCGAAGTGTAAGTATTGATTTAAACTATTACAAAACATAACATAACTTAAATAATTTGGAAAATAAATTGACTGGACTTAATCGCGAGAAATTACGTCTGTAGTTTCTAGTGAATGAAATCAATTAAATATACTGCCCCCAAAACACTTTTCTATATATTTACGTTTCTTTATCAAAGAAATATCGGTTTTGTGCGAACTGAAAAACTCTTGGATCGGTGACATACAATGTTCATAATCTTAGGCAGTGAAACGGGCAGTACAACAAGTAGTACAAATATAGATAAACTTTTCTAAAAACTCCGATTTTTTCATTAAATTATCGTTTCAAATATGGTGGCCGCTCTCCGAATTTTTGCGTCAGTTAGGTACTTGTAAGAAGCTTTTTTAAATAGGAATTTTATGCCATAGACGAAACTGAGCAAAGTTAAAAGATCTATTTTTAGTTTCAGTTTTAAAAGTAAAATTTATTTTACATATTTACTGGCAAGGTCAGTTAATTATTGTTTCCAATATTCATGAAATATTTTTTTAAATTTTCCTCTTCGTAGAACACATAACTACTGTTCTGCAACTGTTCTACTGAATGCAGCGTAGAATTCAATAGTAAAAAACTTCTTGAATTTTGAAAAAGTGATTTACAAATTGCCATAAAATAGCCTAAATTTATCAAATCATCTCCTAAATGAACTTCAACACGGCAATTTATACGAGTTGAATGGTTTATACGCTAAAATATCTATCAGAAGCGACTGTTACTTTTCCCAAGTGGCGCTGTTTTTATTTTGAATGTTTAAGAATTGCCTATTTTCAGTGCCTCAATTTCTAAATTGTGAATGAAAGATTCAACGCCTCAACTTTTCAGATAAAGTACCTAAAGTTTCGTATTTTACTTACTACAGAGAGACTAAAAAAGTGTGATAATACCTACCCCGTTCGAAAGTAATTCATTGAAATATCGAAAAACCAAATAGGTACTGTCCATCATTTTAGACGAACAGTGAAAAGTTACCATTGTTTTCGATGCATTCGAAACAAATCACCTTTGATGTTCAAACTAAACACTTATTTTAACCAAAGTGCACTCTTAAATTAGCCTTTGATAGTATTGCAATTATTTGGTAAAAATGCGATTTGCTTGCGGTTGAAACAGCAAACGTAAAAAGCATTGAAATGAATCCTTCATTATTTGTACATATCGCTACAAAAGCAAATATTTTTGGATATGGAAACAATTTATTTGTAATACTTTTGTGTTAAAATCATAAACTATTTGGTACTTTATAGGAATTTTTCATGTAAAAGTATAAAGTTTAATATTGTTTTGTTACATACGCTAATTTTTCATGTAAAAGTATAAAGTTTAATATTGTTTTTTACATACGATTGGACGTGTTTTAAGTAAAAATTTCGCAACAAGTCAAAAGTCATTGTTCATCACATTGCCCGTATTATTTGTTCCTGTCCGCATTAACTTGTTCATTTTGTTAATCGTTATTAGTTCTCTTCTCTTTCCTTCATTAAGGTGCAAATTTGACACATGAATTAATTAATGTCCTTCCATTTCGTAAGGAATTAGTTTCAACGTTGCCAGAGAGAAAATCAGTTAAGTTAAAATACAATCTGCTATAAAACATCCAGCAATATTAATATTTATGTGCGTTTCTATAATTACTGAGGAATGATTCTAATTCTCTCCCATTCATGTCAGAGAGTTATTTAACAGTTTATTCAATATGTAGCCGGATTCTCGAAAAAGCAAGATAATAGGCATCAAATTACCCGAACGGCTGAAAATTTGCGAAATACTTTCAATCCTGGAGAAATAAACAATCCGTAGAACCGAACGAGCGAGCTTGTCAATTCAAATCCTCGATATTTCATAAACCGTTCAGAATTTAGGAAAATAAATTGTTTTCGCCAAATACAAACTTGCCTACCAAAAATAGTATTAGGCAAAAAATCAACTATATTGGATTCGAAAAAAATATAGGTATAAAATGATCTCAGCCGATTCGTCAAATTTTAAGTGTCAATTTCGATTAAATTAAGTACAAATTTCCATCGTGGATTTATTTCTAAATTTTTAATGATTTACTCTGGAATTGTATAAACATTATTGCGGTCCATGTTATTTTCCGTTTTTCTTTCACTTCGATATTCAAAAAAGAATCTTCAGAACATCTCGTAAACTCCCCTGTTACTTGAAGTATAAAAACTTCCAAAGTCGGCTTATCCGAATAGTTACCACGAAAATTATATTGAGTTAACTGCTGAAATTACTGAATGAACCCCCGATATTTTAAACCCATGAGATCATCTTAAAGCTGTAAAAATTTTATTGGCGTTGGCCAAAGCGTTTTTCGCATAATAACGAGAGGAACTCAACAAAAAAATTAATATTTGACAATTCCTGAAAAACTGTGAATCTCACCATTAAATCCTGAATAAAATCAGACACATAAAAAGGAAAATTTATGGAAATTGGATGGGGCCGATTTATGAGATATTTCCAGTATTCTGGAGTTATAAATCAGACGACAAAGTTCTGCGCAATGCCAAAACTACCCTTTGTAATATTTAACCGTTGCAATGTTCAACATTCTACATTTTGTCTAAACATTTCTTCAAATAAGCATAAATCGTGTATAAACGCTGAGAGCCGAGTGTAATTTGATTTATTGTTTTATAGCTGACGTTACCAGAAGAAATTCAGTGTGTAAACGCCACTATGATAGAGAGTAACTGTACAGATTTTTTATTGAACTTTGAGGCAACTAATGGAGTTGGCAGCAAAGATTGTAAACCTTATTATTTAGTTGATGTAAGTATAATTCTAGTAAAAATTAAGTTTAAGTAAAACCTAGTATAAAAACGTGTTTCTCAAAAGTTAGAGAGAAAGAGAGAAGGATGGAGCATGACTCGCAATATACGTTAAGTTTTTTATCTAAATTCCTGATTTTCATGTCAATTTATAGTAATAAAATGAATTTCAAATTCACATCAGCAGTTCAGCTGTATTAAGTGTAGAAATAAACGTTGCAAAACTCGACAAATTACTTATTTAAATGAGGAGAGTTTTTAAGTGCTCGAGAATAAATTTGATTAGGAACTTTTTCCTGACTAGCTTGCACATTGGCGAGAATTACCATTTTTAATGTTCTTGTGAGAATTTGACTTCTTGTCAATCATTTTAATGACTAATTCAGATTTTATTGATTACAGAATCTTCTGCTTTTGGTACTAATCTCCATGATAGCTTGTGCTGTATACCAAATACTAATTTCGTTAGTAAAGATGATTATTCTACTTGGTGCCATGGCTGGATTCCTGGCTGTTTATGTTACATACTCCAAGAAGATTGATTTAATCTACAAAACCGCTTGTGTTTATAAATATAGGTAAGTGATCATTTAAATATTATCAAGCGTTATGAACTATAATTTTTGTAAATTTGTAATTTCGTTTTCATAGAATTCATCAAAAATATATTAATACATTTAAGTAGTGAATACATACTACAAAGTCTAACCAATTCGTACTGTTCATGCTCGAATTAAACTAATTTTAATAATGCTAAACATGGTACAATTGTTTGATTCGATAATTCGTCAATTCCCATCTCACATACGAATTTCCTTCAGCAATAAACCAATTGCCGAAACAATCTGACAATAACAACGCGGTCTGATTATGAAATTCAAATTAGTTCATCAATTGGATGAATGGATTCAGATAGTTAAATCCTGAAATCGGATATCGAATATTGCATAATATAATAACTAATTTTCTCTCTGGAACAAACATACCGGAATCAGCAAAATGTCATACTATACTGCTTGAGCTATTTCCTGTTGGACCCGACGCAAATTGTTAGCGCATGTTTCAGATTATCTTAATATTACCTGCTTGAGAAAATTTCCATCTTATTTTGAATAAGAATTAGATGGCTAGAGTATTCCAATAAAAAAAAGTACAACTGCTTGAGGTTGATAGATCTGTTTCAACAATGTTCTATTTATAATTTCTTTTAAAATTAAATATACAAAAAACCAGTACAAAAATATACATTTTCTCCAACCAAAATTAAACCGAGACGTTAGAGGTTAACCCTCGGTTACATAAACGCTGTACATAAACATTCGAAAATTAAATATGATGTTTACAAAACCCTAAACTTTTTTGTTCCTTTTTATTTCTAACTGACTAAAATACTTAATATGTCGAGAAAATCTTCTTACGGCATTCGAAAGACAATTTTACAATTGAGATGGTAGCAGATAGAAGTCATTGTTTTGACCAACCCATCAGATTTCGTTTTCATAAATAGACGCATCGATTCGATCGGAGCCGCTGGAGTCTCAGAATGAAATATTTTAATAATTAACATTGACTTCATAAATGCAAAACATTTTAAACGGGGTCTGATTTTAGATTGCAGAACATTATCAATGTTCCCTGAAAGAGTCATTAGACAGTAATATAAAATTCAATAGAAGAAAAGCCAACGTATTCCGTCGTCCGCTACCGTTAAGCACATGAAGCGAAGTCTATAATTTATTAAACATGCAGCAATTTATAAAGGTGTGTTGTGGCAGTACTTGCGACATTATATTATTTTTTATGGATAGTTAGTAAACCGAACTGCTCTCAAAAGAAAAAAGTTCTTGCCTACTTGTGTATGTGTTTTCATTATAAATTTCTGTTGTCACTTTATATTTGTTATGTGTTTGTTGCAGTGCTTGTTTGTTGCCGCTTTTTCACTTAGTAATTCACATGTTTTTATTAAAAGTATCCTAAACATTACAAAACATATGCTGTTCGACCGGCTCTTATTATTATTATATGCTTAGGACGCAAAACAATATTTCACAATCATTATCAACGACAAATTTAAGCACAACTATTAATACCTTCTGTTAATTAGAATTTATTGCGATTCTCTAAAGCAGCCAGACCCAAGCTAATGGATTTATTTACTCAAAGCTTAGGTCGTAAAAAGATGATATCAACGAATTTTTTGGCAAATCCAGTTTTATTTTATAAAGCTTTTGCTTAAAGCGCCTACAATCTTATAAATATTTTTATATTCGCATCGGCTACAGACTTGGAAGGGCATAATACCTTTAGGGTAATAGACCACGTAAAATAAATGACTTGCTGAATTATTACCGACATAAAAAATTTATTTTCAGAAGAAAAAAACATCCAGTTTATGGATTCACCTTAATGTGTTTTCATGAGATTTAAACGTAAAGCTATGGCTTTTCAATTGGAAAACCGTTTTAGTTCAACTTTAGGTCATTCTTTTGTATTGTTTAGTCGGTTGCCACTTTTTTTGGCAAATATTAAAGGCAAAGACGGTTCATAAAGTTACTAAATAATAATCATTTTTAAATTAAATTAGAAAGAGCTATGCTGCTTTAAATGTACTAATTAGATATTGATATAATAAGATCAATTTGTCTTGAGAAAGATAACTTTTACATTGTCTAATTAAATATTTTGTGAGGTGAACAATCTTTAATTAACTCTATTAAAATTGTTTCCACTAATTTTTTTATAGACTCACACGTTTATTATCGTGATAGAGTGTGTCATGTGTTGGTATTTTCTAACTGAATCATAGAATTTTTTCAAAAGTTAACAAATTTTCGGAACTTTGCGTGAGTCGCACCTTTGAGACTCAATTTCCTGTATGTACGAAACAACCAACAATAAAAAAACAAGCAAACCAAGATATACATCAATTAAATTTGTTGTTTTATGTTTCTATATTTCAAAATTATTTTAAGAAGTAAATCGTCTAAAAGTAAAAATATACTTTCAGCTTAATGTGTAAGGTGTTTTGGTACAAACGTTTCTACTTCACAAATAATAAAAGAAAACAAACAAATTTGAAAACAAAAACGAATTTGTTAACATACAAAACTTTCAACGTGTTTCAAAATCAAACATCGATTTTGAAATATTCACGCATCAAAGTTCCTGGTCGTAAATTTTCGATAAACGAATTGAAAAAGTCGTTATTTCGGGATTCAGTGGTTTCGTAATTGAACAATCCTAAATTTTGCTAGCCGGATATTGAATTGAACTTGGCGTTTTGGCTTTAGTTGTTTTGCGCAAACCGCCAATTCTAATCTTGAGTAATATATTTGCCACAGATGTATCAGAGCCGTAATRCGCGATTTGGTTCGGGGCARCTGCACAAGAAAGGATAAAAAATAGTAAAATAAGGTCTAACATTAAAGGATTCGCTGATTTATTAAAGAAAAATTAGAGTTCCTTTACGATTCTGATGCTTTAATTAATATCGTAAGCCTTCCGGGATTAAAGAATGTCTAACATTTTCGCCGAAAAAAATCCCCTTACTTATCTGGAGAACAAATTCGGAGCAAATTAGATTATGATAAAATTACTTATTTAGCAAGCTGTTTTATATAAAGCCAATTTTGTACATTTCCAATTATATTTGGTTTTGTAATTGAATTAGCAGATGCGTTAAACTTTTTTCCCATTTTTTTCTTTTCCCAAGTTTTTATAGTGACATTYGAGCTCACTTAGAGAATGCAAAAAAAATATAGAAAAAATATTGGCTCTTGAAGATGTAACTTCAACTTAACTATTAAATTTAWTGACAAGGTTAATGGAGCTAAACACTACAATAAAAAATTTATATTTCTTGATGTTTATTTSAAATAAAAATCGTTCAAAATTATTTAATTACGGAAGTAACTTCTTAAAACTGTACTAAGGAAAATCTGACTGTCATTTTCTATGTTAATTGAAAACATTGCGAGTGTTATTGCGAAATTATTAAAAATCAGCATCCAAAAATGGCTATTGTGAACAAAAGTGAGGTGAAACAGTGTATTCGTAATGTTCAAAAATAATTTACATAGTTGCATTTGTCGCAACTAATTTTACTTGTTACGTGTTTTAAACTTTGTGTATTTGAAAATTGAAATTTCTAACCGGAAAATACATTAAACTAAAAAAATAATTACATCAATTATTTTTATTATTATTAAAAGAGATGTTAAATTTATAACAATGAATTGAAATGATTATTAATAATTGCTCAATTATGTCCAGGTTTAAGAACGTAGATAAGTATCAAGTTCAGTCAAGTAGCATAAGTTTAAGTAGAGATGAAAAGTATAAGAAAAAATAATTCTGTTCAATTCTTCGGACAAATTCTTTCACATTTCTACTTGTTGGAAAGTCAACTTCAAGCCTATTTATTAAATACATCAATAAACAATTTCTATTAGGGTTAACATTTAAAGAATCGAATTGCAATATTTTCCTTTTATCAGTTTTACAAGAATGCATAAAACCGTTTGCAGATTTCTAAAACTACTTTCAACTTTTTTTATTTCTAGGGTTAATTCACATTTTACATTTTTTTATGTGATTGCCATTGGCATTAAACGTGTAACCAATATGGACATTTAATTGATCTGTCCACATTATTCGAAACGAATATTGGCTGTTATCGTTTATGATGTGGAAAATCTAATAACAGCAGTTTAATTTATTTCCCAAATTGGTTTGCATTAAATCACGTTGCAAAACAATTTAGTTTTGTCGGGTAAGTTGTAATCTTTTAAAAGTGAATATGCAGATCTTCTAAAAATGTTTAAATTTTATGAAATTTTACGTGTTCTTGGAGCAGTTTAAATCAAAAGTAAGACATTAGGCATGTTTTCCGTATTTTCTGAAAAGTTTTTCATATTAGAATGGCAAAAACTTATGCAAATGTAGAATCTTTAATTAGTCCAATATGCAAAATGAATGTTTACAGTTGTCAACAAAACCACTCATTTCTTATACGCTTTCTTTAAAACAAATTTAGTAAATAAAATCAGATGTTTGTTAATTCCATATTCCAGTTTGCTATTTGTTTAAATGAAGTGAACCCTTAGTTCAATCTTTTTTAAGTGTGTGAGCCAAAATTATATTATTTGAAAACCACTGGAAACACATTAAATGTAATCAATTATCTGCTTATTCTTTATTAGGTCGTATAATTGTTTATTTTGCAATTTGCAAAAAAATTAAATTTTAACTAAATGAAAGTTTAACCTTTCTTCTAACCGAGCGTTCCTGTCTTACTGTTAACTCAACTTTWCTTAMGTAAAATCCATCTGTTTCCTTTACAACATTTTCATGTTTTCAAATAATTGTTGAAAGGCAATAAATGCAACTGCCTGCCTGAATGACCTGCAACTAGGTTTCAATGAAATCCAAGCAATTATAATTACYTAARTATTATCTGAATCAATATYGGTTTTGAATCATTGCCAAATTAAGAATCAACTTTCATAGCATTTCATCGTGCTGTGGCTTTATAAAATGGAGACAAATTACATGATTAATAAAACAGCAAAATTAAACCCTCATTCATTTTGGGTTCTTTGTTGTTTCAGTGAGGATGACACGCTAACCCATCACTACATCAACATCGTAATTCTAGTTGGATTTGTTATAGCGCTAATTCTTCATGGACAACAGACCGAGGCCACGTACCGGCTGGATTTTGTGTGGAAATTACAAGCGACAGGTAATCAGTTACACTAGAATAACATGCCTTGTCTTTTGTTCTCTACTTGTTTGCAAAACAGATAGATAAACCGAAAACTTTCCTGACTCGGCCAGCGTGAAGAATAATCCCATTGTCACACTTTCCACTCCAAAAATAATTGACTCAATTTTATTACAATTAAAATGTTGCGGCAGTTCAGATGCAGTCTGAGTTGCTACTCTTGTTTGTAACCGACGTTAACAATAGTTTGGTAAAAGTTTCCTTCAATTTTCAGTTTTTATATCAAAGGTAGCCAAACTATTAAAGTCAGTCAAAGTCAAAACATAGATTGGCTATTGGTTTTTGAAGAGGTTTTTGGAAAGAGTTTATTAATAGAAGCAGAGAAAAAAGCAACGTTTGAAACTTATTCATACATCGAGCTGATTTTGAAAAATTCTAATCCTCGTCATGAATTCAGCAGTTTTTTCTATTTTATGAACAAACAGCGTAATAAAACTACCTCTGTCCCACTGTGTGGAAATCAGAGCTGAAAGCCACAAAGCGAAAAACTATTCAAAGTATTGAAATTATCCTACAAAGTGGTTAATAGTAAATGAATTTTCATTATTCAAGTTAGGGGAAAACGCGAATTGTTATAAAAACTCAGAGGTTATAAAGAAAAACACTTTGCCTGGCTCCCGAGAAACTGTAAATTTAATTTTTACTCAAGCTCATCTTTTCAAATTTGCTGCGCAAAAAAGTGTATGTGAAATGTAGCTTGTCACGTAGCTCTCTCTCTCATAGCGTCTCTCCGCCATGAAATCTTTATTTATTATTTTTATTTCCTATCGTATTTTATTTTTTTATTTACAAAATGGTCGTGCTTGTTTAAGTTACAAAATAAAAATAATATTTTACAGTGCACTTACGTACACTATAATTCAAATAGGACATTAAAGTCACTCAAAAAAGCCAATATTCAATTTCATAAATGTGTATGAAAAATATACTGAGGATCTCTCACCTGGAAAAGCGATTTAACGAAAATTCTTCGTAACCTTCATTTAAATTGGAATTGTTACGTTCGCTGAATTTGAAAAGCACTTCAAAGGGCTTCTAAACTTTTTAAATTCTATCATTAGCCGTTCTAAATTATGGGAAAAGTGGCCCTTTTATTTTCGTGCTTAATTTCTCGGGAACTAGCGGAGCTCTGCTTCGGAAAAATGATGCTTCCCTCACTTTACAGTGCAGTTTGCGTATGCTATTAAACATCATAAATAAATTTCCACAAAGTGCTAATATCTTAGCGAAGGATTAAACCACCTTCATATCAAATAATCTAATTTTCTCCAGTTTATATAATTCGAAACGGTATATTCATTGCAGTGTATTGAATGCACTTTTTGTATAAAACCATGTTAGTCCATGTTGATAGCTTAAATTTTCTATCAATGGGTCCATTCATTTAATGCAACAGACATGCAAAGTCGCTCATTGTCCGACGCTAGCTTATTATTAAAAATAATTTCTAGTTTTGCCGAAAATCTTACTAAAACATCAAAAAATTAATTGAAAAATGTGCTCTATTTAATCAAGATTCATTTTGCATATTTTCATTTCATTTTCTGCAGCCAATCTGAAAACAGGTATTTCATTGGTTATTTGCCAATATTAGGCTGATACTATACAATTTTCTGAGTTAAAGTAAAGCGTAATTTGAAAAATGCTCTTACTGGCGTTTAATAAAATATCTGCTTTACAGAGGAAAAAGAAGATATGGAACACTTGGAAGCTTATAACAGAAAGCTGTTAGCTAATATATTACCAGTGCACGTTGCGGAGCATTTCCTGAACACGGAGAAAAATAATGATGTAAGTTGATTTTGTATTCTACATGTACCTGAAATGCATTATAATGCCTCTTATTGTGTTTACGAGCATCTATCTAGTATTCTTAGGCATGTATAGTATATTTTAACAGTAAGCGAGGTGTTTTTGATGCGACTTCCAAGCCCGAATTTGACTCTTAACAAAAGAACGTTTCGGTGGCAATTCACCACGGATTAATGTTCTAATCGCACAAAATGAAATTATCACAAAACAGATGGTATTTGTGCAAAAAAAAATATTAAATACATATTAACATTGAGTGTCATACTTTTGTGAGTAACAAGACATGAAATTCTTAAAAAATAATAATGTTTTAAAAATCATCTTCATGTTGATAGGGTAGCCATGATATTGTAAACTACTTTGATTTAAACATGCAACTAAACAAAAAATGCAATAATCCGCTATTTAAAGTGCCATGTGACTCTTTGAAAGACTGATAAGTTTTATTTTCTTGTATTTGTGTTGATAACAAATTTATGAGAAATATACTAAATGCAAACAATTAAAAGTAGTACAAAAAATTAACACGTTTTATTTCCTTAAAGAATACTTAATAAAGACTTATAATATTGSACAAATTTGCTGGAGAAATAASGGACATTGTAGAGAATGTTTGWATCTAMAGGKTGCCCCGTAAGCACATTGTCAAAWGGGTAMTGYGAWATTMWTKRATYAGAAAGAARACGATCTCACCTAACTTTTATTAACAAAAAATGTCTGGCTCCTCTGCTATTGATGGTCAAAGTTCTTCAAAAAATTCATCTTTTTCGAAATATTGGGAGAATGGTACCATGTATTTTGATAAAACTCGCTGTGAAATGGTTCTTATGTAAGATTCATATTTTGATAAAACAATCGATTTTATCCGTTAGACATTAACTGCAAATACGCGCCGTTAAACGCGTACGATTTCACGGAAGTTGTCTTYCCAAAACCCTAATACTTTGACCATGTCKGTCACTTCTTCATTAGAAAAGGTYATTCRAATCGAATTTGTGAGATTGATTAACRATTCAATGTCTAACATTGTTAACRGSCAAAAAAGCAATAGCAATTTTTTTTGCAAAAACTATGAATACTTCAAGATTTTACAAAGAGCAGAAATTGTGAATAAATGATTAGTGCATCAACCAAAAAAACATGAGTTGWTTTCATCCACCAAATAAAAAGTTCTGRTAGTTTTTGTACCACGACTCTCAAGAATTCCACTATTTGTCSAAAACGGATGAACCCAATTGTTACMTCAAAATRTGAGTCTTACATAGGAACAAATTCACAGCGAGTTTCACCAAAATACATCGTACCATTCTCCCGATATTTCACAAAAGATAATTTTTTTKAAGAGTTAGGTCAGATCGTYTTCTTTTGATGCAAAGAAWATCGCAGTATCCTCTTGCGACACCCTATATATACAGTGGGAACGTAAAGAATGAAACATATCAAGTAAACTCTATGCAGTTGATTTTTTTTTTTAATTCTCGGWTGCGTCAAACTTAATTTAAAGATCGAGTATTTCTGCATATTGGACGATTTAATTTCCGATAAGATCCATAATACATAATGTTCTTTAGTAAACAACGTTTCTTCTGATTTCAATATTTCCTTTATAAAACGATAATTTTTTTATTTTTCTATTTTCTTCTGTTAAAGAGTAGACCACTAGACTGTTGCAGTTGATAGACTTTAATTGTATTTTTTTGTTTTGGTTACGGATAATTTCCTTGATGGCCTTTTTACTCATTTATTATCATAAGGCAAATGGTACTAAGAAATTTTAAAGTTCAATGCAATGGGCAATGGTGCCCAGTTTGAATGCTTATTTTATTTCTTTCCTTTTTGAAGCTTTTTATTTCCTTACTAATAATGGAAATGAACACGAGGAAAATACTGTTTTTTTAAAGAACATATCTAAAATTTTAAAAAGCATGTTTTTCTAAAAGAAATTGTTATGTAACCCACAGAAAATGTACTCGTCTGTATTGCAAATTGATCGGTCTTTCAAATTAGTGTATTAAAACGGAGGATGGAAAAAATCAAAGATTTTATGTAAAATATTATTAACATTTTCTCGAGAAATTTAAAAATATTTAATTTCCTATAGTATGGATTTGAGAGAATTTATATATAGTATGGCAGAGAATCTATTGACACAGTTAATTAGCAATACTTTCTGTCAATAGCTCAATAGTCTTAAGTCTCAATAGCTAAAATACAAATAATTATAATTAGGCACCGAAATGTGTCAAAATCAACTGTTGTTAATGTAATAAGATCGGATATTAATCAGTTATAGTACGCATTTCATAGACGAATGAAAGCCGCAACCAATTACTATTTAATTGCATTATTATTATTAGTATTTAATGCTCATATTCGCATGTTGTCAATCTTTTGCACCAATGCAATTAGCTAATTGACATCTGTTTTATTGAGGATAATAGAATTAAATTAATTAACCCGATTTTCAATGTCTAAACATATTTGATAATGCACTCAGTAAAGTTGTACATTTAATAAATAATTATTTATTTTCATAACGGGTTAATTGAAAAAGTTAAATTCGTTTTATAATAAGCATCTCATTTTTGCGGAAATAAATATGTGTGTTTTTGTTATTTAAATTCCTATTTTTGTGCGAAAAAGTTGAGAGTATAGTACGAGGTTCGGATTTCAAGCACTGAATAAAATCGTTCAGTCTGTCGATGTCCAACAAGAATATCCTTCAGTTAGCTCAGGCTATGTATCGCATAAAAGTGACTTTGGCTTTCTAACAACATGGTGAAATAGATATACTTACCGTGTTTAAATTACTTGGTCTTATGCTAACTAACTAACTATTAATACATTATGTGATTGGTACATACATTCAGTATTAATGCATGATAATTTGACTAAATGTGCCACAAATCGCTGTATTTTTGTAATAAAAATATGTTAACTTTGAGACCTCACAACTCAGCTCTTGACGATCTGAACTACGCTAACATATAAAGAATGGCGCTTCTTCGACTTTTATTTGTTGTTATTATATTTGTGTTTAAGCAAAATACGTTTTGCTATAATAATGCACCAATTTCATATTCCCCAATTTACAATTGCGGAAATCGGTTAAACGTGTTATTTTGAAAATTTGAATTAATTAATTTTTTAAGGGTTCACTTATCTGAATTTCATTTGGCCGACTTGTTGAGACTTGTCTCTGCTTCGCACCGCTGATTGTAAATATTAACAATTTAAACGTGAAGCAGTTTTGATGTACAATAGCCATATTGAAACTGGTGAGTTTTTTGAGCTTTTAAGCGGCTGTGAATTATAACTTCTTCCTGACGTTTCGCAAGTACGAGTGGCGTACATCTTCAGAGCTTACTGTGGACTGGTGGGCTTTCAAGCCGTAACACCTCTGAAAATGCAAGCCACTCGCGCTTGTGAAACATTACGAAGAAATTATCTTCTACCACGACGTAAAAGCCGTAAAAACTAACCAGTTTCGTGAACAATATTTAACAAAGGGTTTAAAGTAAATTTCTTAACATAGAAAAAGGAAATTATATCTAGTGATTTTAGACTGATAAGATTATATTATTGAATGTGTCAAATGGCGGGTGCGGAGTTGCAACTATTGCGATTAAAAAAATAAGTAAATTTCCAGTATGTACAGGATGTTTCATAATTTAATGTCTATATTCAAGAGTATTAACATTTGTGTAATTTAAGCGTAAAACACTTTAAACGAAAAATAGTCTCGTAAACCTTTCGTTTTCAACCCACAGAGCACTAGCTTGAAGAACATTTGGCTTTTACTTTACACTTATTGCAATTTTCATATTTTTTCCTCGACTTGAAAATATCCCTGTCTTTGTAGGGCCTTAATCATGAGGCATAGACAGACATACATTATAACAATCGACAGTTTCTTCGCCCTGCTTTTATTTGAAAGCCTTGCAAGCAAAATAAATAGTCACCTAAGCGCTAGGTAAAATTCAGTAAATCTACTAACAGCAAAATCAATGTAACATAACGATATAATTACCGATATTTTCCAGTCAATGCGCCTAAATACCTGCAAAAAAAATACGTTTAAGTCTATCGTTCCTGAAATCATTTTCTATCATTTTTAAAATGTTTGTAGGTTTCAATTAACGTACCTCAAACTCCCTGAAAGATGGGGAATTCTAAAGTCAGCATTTCCCACTACGCCTGCAAAGTTAATTCACTAAAAGCACTGGAATGTTCGGGATGATCACCACATTAACCACTCACTATCATTTGGCGACTGGATTCGATTCGGACCTGATAACTGGTTTTTTTTTCTTTGAGTTTTTATATTCAGACATAAACAAACCTTTAGATAAACATTTAGCTGTATGATATGCGTATTGTACTGGCAACATGAAAGTGACGAGCGATGAAAAACCGATCTGAAACAACTTGTAGATGATCAATATTTTATAATTGGAAAATGTTTTGGTTGTATCGTTCTTACTATTTATGATTTGCATTAGATTAAACACCATTTTTTCGTGTGAGGAATCGACATGTGCCTGTTTATACACGTTTTACGAAGAAAAATAACGCAAAATAAAGAATTGAATTCAAAATGTTGCAGCATGCAGCATGCAAAATGGCAGAAGTTTGATAATTAACGTGAACTATAAATAATGGCATTTCTTTAGCTCAACTATACGGCCGGAAATAAAGTTTTTTAATTCACGCAAATCACAGCTATTAAAAAGTTGGGTTTATTTTCTCCGGCCACGCGTCTGTGTCACCAATTTCTGCGTAAAATGTCCGATTTATTACTAGTTTGGAGATTTAGATGTTTGAGACATTTTTTTATTATAATAAACCATATTCTTTCTCTGCCAAAAGAGTGTAAAATTTGATAGGTCCAATAGATCCTGTATTCCAAATATATTTAATACAATTGTTTTTCCCCTACAGATTTTTTTCTGCTTTGATAAATATTTTTGCAAGAAAAAATTAATACCCAAAGAAATAATATCCAAATACCAATGAAATGATGTCTACGATGGGAAACTTAACTTTAAAGTAAATTAACACTTAAAGAAGTGATTTAATAAAATCTTAATACGAGTAAAGAAACATTTAAACATTGAAGACACACTTGGTAATAGATTTATAAGATTTGTGCTTTCTGGAAACGTATGGAGCAATATTCAGCTTATTTTATAATCAAAACAGCGCCAGAATATTCATGAAACATATAAAAATGTACACTAATCTTTTAAAAAGAATCGTTTTATTAAAAACTCATTATTCCATTTTAATGATTCTCACAGGAAATGTACTTTTACCCGGTTCTCCAGAACTGATCCGATTTGAGTTTTTTATGTGCCTACCTTTTCAATCTACTAAAATCCAACAAAAATCCTATTCTTGAATTGAGTTAAATTGGTTCTTACATGATTTAAATTTTAACGGATATTGATTTTATACATAAAATCGCCTTTTGCGGTTCGTCAAAATTTTCAAACAGCTTTCTAGAATATTTGCGTCATCATCATTTTCTTTTTGCAAAAACATGTGTTTGATGTTTGATTGATTGATTTGAAGTCTCCAAAGTTCATGTGTTTTGCTTAACATAAAAGTGCTGAGAGTGAAATCAAATCCTTTTTTTTTCGGATAGGTTATATTTGCCACGCAAAAGATTCTATAATCCATGATATAAGGTACAACGAAAAAAGTATCAAATGTTGTGTGTAATTTATCAACTATTTAAAATATTTTTTTAAATGTATCTAGTCTTTAAGTGACTGTTCAAGAAATAGCGACGACTTACCTCAGATACATTGTCAACAACCCATTGTAAATCTTTTCATATCATCTTGTTTGTCTACTTATATTTACGTGGCTGGAAATGTAGCAGAATCGAGTAATTTCTAGAGAATTTCAACATTTCGAAAATTGAGCTGCATAGCAGGCAATGGCATGTGGAATGCATTTCCCATCACATGCATCGCCTTTCTCAAAGAGAAACCCACACTGCTATGTATTGTATTATAAGGAAACTCTAATAATATTTTATTACAAGATGTTGCTCCATATTAAAAGCATAGCATGTTAATATTGCATTATTTCGAGTAAAGATTGAGAGGAAAATTGTTGTATTGGTGAAATTTCCATTATTTTGGAAACAGCCATATATGTAAAGGAAAAAGGGCAACCGAATTTTAAATGGAGGCGCTGAATGTGCATTTACATAAATATATACAAACCGATTTCATAAAAAAAAAACATTACAATATTCAATTTGGGCCGAAATACTAAATACGACGGAAAATAAAAATAACATGCACATGGAAGTCAGGCAAATAAATCCCTGTTGTGTTTCTTAGGTTGAAAAAATATGTTGTTCACTGAATTTGTATTTCGTTTTCAATTTTCAGGAGCTGTACCATGAACAGTGCGACTTTGTGTGCATCATGTTTGCTTCAATTCCTAACTTTTCTGAGTTCTACGTGGAGCTGGAAGGAAACAACGAAGGAGTGGAGTGCTTGAGGCTTTTAAACGAAATCATTGCCGATTTTGATGAAATCTTGTCTGAAGATCAATTTAGATACATCGAAAAGATCAAAAGTACGGGAGCRACGTATATGGCGGCTTCAGGTAATTTACSRACAAATAAAYGCMCGWCTAAACSTTAAGCAWACAAAAAAWTRWTRCTATTGATAACTTCTATAGAAAATGCAACTGTTAAAAATCACGCTTTTCAAAATTAATTTCCTAAGATCCGGAAACAAATACATAGTTTGATAAATAAGAAGTTAATAAATGATAAACAGAGCTATGCACGATAAACGTCGTGAAAAGATAATTTTAGCCTACTCGCCTATCAAACCCAATATCCTAAACTGCCTTAAGAGGGGCTTTTTWAATRGARAACCGTGTATATTAGCAAATGTGRTAGRCGTAAATTTTGGGGCCGTCTTTTCAGACAATAAWCGACCAACGCATAAACTTAAAAGAAATGGAAACAATCTAAATTGACGGTAATTTCAATTTAGCGCTTCTTCMAAAGTAACTTTCGAATTGGAAAATTTTATTCTAGTTATCTTATGACGACGTATCCGACTATTCCGCTAACGGTAATTGAATTTCAATGCGGAAAAGATTTTGATGTTGAAAGTAAACTATCAAATTTCCAGTTAGCACTTTATATTTCCTGTTCAGACATTCTAGACTTCTATTTCAAGTCTTTGCTTTATCAATTAAATTATTTCCTACTGGCAGTTGCGAACTTGAGCTACAAACTAAAATTATAATTATATTTTGAAAGTTGCTGAGTTTTCTGCGAATTAACAAAACTTTCAATAGATCCCAAAAGTCTTTTTTCGTCATTAGGAGTAGGTACTTCGAACATAATTTAACGTTAAAAATTAGAGGAAAAGTAGAAGTAGGTACTTACAAGAAGTTATCTTTGGATTTTTTTTTCATTTGCACAAGTCGTATCTGGGAAGTAATGTTTTTGGTATATTTCCTAAACAAAAGCAAACTAAAATATTTAAATTAGTCCTTTACCAGATTTAGATAAACTTATTTTATTCATTTATGATATAATGTTGTCATTTCCCATTGGGTTAAAAAATGTAGGGTCATTTACATAGATTGATTACAGATTCTGTATGTAGTTGATACTTTAAAACGAATAATTATATTTGCTTCTGATGCCAATATAAACATTTAAAAAGAAATATA